TTTTTTTTTTTTTTTTGTTTTTTTTTTTTTTTTTTTTTTTTGGTACCAGGGATCAAACTTGGGCCCTTGCGCTTGTGAGGTAGGTGACAGAACCACTGAGCTAAATCCCCAGTCCTCTAGTTTGCTTTTTGAAAATGGTCAGTGCATACTGTATGCATATATGGAAATATCACAGTGCCATTATTATGTATGACTAATGCTTCCTAATAAAAGTGTAATGATTCTTAATAAGAAGGAACTATTGGTTCAGAGCAATGACTTGTGCAGCAGTGAGGTGGCAGGATGTAGAACAAAAGCTTCTGGGGTGGCGAGAGGAATCCTCACCGCATTCCCCAGCGCACAGAGATGGTCGAAGGTGGTAATGAACTAGTATCATCTGACCTCCCTCCCTTCCAGCATACCACATGCTGTCCCACCTAGTCCTGTCTGAGTGGGGGAGCTAGAGTCGCCTTCTAAAATCTGACTCTTGGGTGTCACCTGTGAGCACTTAGGCCAGATGACTCTACATTTCCAAGTCTGAAGTTCTGTGTTCCTCTTGTTCTGATTTTATTCCCGGATCTCAGTTATTCTTGTCATTCGGCTTCTGTGTTTAAGCTCTGTGAGGGCACAGTGTGTCCCTCACAGTAGGCACTGTATGTGTTCAGTAACAGCCATTGTCCAAAAAAAAAGTCGCTAGACTTGAAATACTCAGAGTTCTGAGTTATAGCAGAGTTTGCTTCTGATTGTCCCACTTTGGGGATGCTCTTGGTTGAGCTGGAATGGCTTTGCCATTTCAGAGGCCAGTGACCTTCAGGGATGTGGCTGTGCTCTTCAGCCAGGACGAGTGGCTGCAGCTGGACCCTGGTCAGAGGCGCTTGTACCGGGAGGTGATGCTGGAGAACTACAGCAACCTGGTCTCTGTGGGTAAGGTCTCTCCCGGGATGCAGATCTGCCGTGGGAGCCCCATGGGCCCTGTGAGGTGGGAGGTTTGAAGGGCTCGCGGTCAGGTCTGGCCACAGAGGATCTCAGAAAGTTGCAGCTGCTTCTTGTTCCTCTCAGCTGTTCGGACACGTGTGAGTTTGGCTGGGGTGACAAAGAAGACCGACTGTTTTTTATGCTTCCCTGACCCCCTACCTTCCCCAACCTCACTGCCCAGCTTTGTCTCCCTTGGACTCCTAAAATGTTGCAGCTGAGGAGGACACAGAGCCCATCTTGAAACCACCTCCTGCCATTTTTCCAGGACCTCAGTTTTATGCCCTGCCATGACCAGCCCTCTTCCTTCCCCACTGTCCCTCCCTGTCCCTGCAAGGACAGCCTGTCATGTCTTCTCATTCATCACAGGAATTCTGTTTTCCAAGCCGAAGGTCATCTCCCAGTTAGAGCAAACGGGAGATCCCCAGATGGAAGGAACTGGAACACCACGAGGTGTGTGTCTAGGTGAGTGCTGGCAAAACAAGAAGAGACACTCGTGGGGGGTGGGAACACTCATCAGGGTCTCCGTGGTGTGCCAGTAAGGTGCCAGACCTGGAGGCAAGTGCTGGGAGTGGCGAACTCATCAGGTTCAGAGGGAGAGGTGAATTCTCCCAGTATGGATTGCAGTTTTGTCAAATGCATCTTGTAATTTACAGAATGTGTAATGCAATATATAATGTGTAATGTTCTGCTTTGATTTTTGTGCTTTGCTTTTGGTACAGCCAGACAGAGGCTGGTTGTTTTGAGCTTTGCTACTAATCCAGAAACTGTTTCTCTCTCTACCAGAAGATAATCTTTCAGTTCAGACTTAGGTTTCCATTCATGAACTCGGTCCTCAGATTTTTCTCGTTTGTTTGTTGTTTTTTAAGACATGGTCTCACTATGTAGTTGAGGCTGACCTGGAACATCACTATGTTTCCCTGGCTGGTCTCAAACTCACAGTGATCCTCCTGCCTCAGCCTCCCGAGTGCTGGGATTATAGGCGTGTGCCACCACGCCCGGCTCCGTTGGTTTGGTTAGAACATGTTCACGAATACTTTTTTCAAAGAAGTTTGGGTATATGATATTTGTATGAGTTTAAAATCAGTTTCTTTTTTCTTCTCCTTTGAGAATTGTCTTTGGATCTAGAATCAGCATCACTGTTTCTGGGTGTCCAAACTTCTCCATGGTGTTTGGACCCTGAGTGTGGTTAATCAGTCATTTTGGTTGTTTCTTCTCTCTACAGCACAGGTCACCTCTTTTTTCTTTTCTGTCTTTTCTGAAATCTTAGAGGATATCTTCTTTACCTTTGGAATTCAGAAAATTCATTATGTTTTACAGCGGATTTTTCTTTCTTTAATTAGTTGACATTCCCTGGGCCCTTGCTTTGCAGTTCAAGTCCATTCTTTCAAGAATCTTTGGTTCTACTACATACTTACATACATTCACCAAATTCCACCAACAATTTGGGGAATCTGGTTGCAAGAATAATTTTATAATACAATAGAAATTCCAAGTAGAAATTTAGAAAATGAATATATTGTCAGGACCAGAATGGTAGCTATAGATGAATTGCAGGTCTGGCTCTGAGCTTTCTGGTTGGCAAAGAAATCATTAATACCAAAGTGACCTGTTTTTTTAGCATCTTAACAAAATAATTTTTTTTGGTACCAGGGATTAAACTTGAGACCTTGTGCTTGCAAGGCAGGTGGTGGAACCTGCCTAAACCTGCTAAATCCCTGACTCTTAACAAATTAATTTTAATTTGTTCAAATTATACTTGAGGGGTTTTTTTTGTTTCTTGTTTTTTGCATTTTTTTGTACTGGGAATTGAACTTGGCCTTGCCCTTGCCAGACAGGCACAGCACCACTGAGCTACATCCCCAGCCCTATACTTGGTATTTTAAAAGAGCAGAGAGCGAAGATTAAGACTGAAGGAAACAAAAAGAGGAGACTCATCTGTAATTTAGTAAGTAAGCCACTGTTAATATTTTACTGTTCTCCATTCAGACTCATAGTCTGAGTGTGCTTGGAAGACAGAAAGACAAAGATTGATTCCATGTATTCTCAAGACTGGCTTAAATGTGAGTGTCCTTCACTTATTCAACCTTAAGCACAGGCTTTACCTCTTCAAAAGCACTCTACTGTGTCGGTAAGCCTTATTTACCTGTTTTTCCTATTTTTAATATTGCTGAGATAGCTATGGGAATACACAGGTATGATATAAAGAGGTATAAATAAAAAGTGCAAAGAGTAAAGAATAAATATTATAACGTAAAGGTATGAGTATTACAATTGAAAATTTAAAGAGTATGAATCCAAAATCTTTAAAGAATATTTTGAAAAATATTTAACTTCATAATAATCATTGAAATTCGAACTATAGTAATGAAATACTGTTTCCCTTTATTAAATTACCAAACATTAAGATATACAAATTCAGTATTTTGCTAATGCTCCGAGTAGTAAGCTGCATCCTTAGTCTTTCCAGAGGTCTGGCTTTATTAAAATCAGTTCTGTGCTGACCACAGTGGCACACACCTGTAATCCTAGCTACATATTTGGGAGGCTGAGGAGAGAGGATTTGAAGCCAGCATGGGCAACTGAGCAAGAACCTGTCTCAAAATTGAACAAGCAAAAAAGCAATCAGCGCTCAGAACACAATGATAATGTGTCCATAGAGTGATACAGTAGAACAACCACGCAAATGATAATGTGGCACTCGATTTACTGATATTAAAAATGGATTTCATTTTTTATAATAAAATCCATAATTCTACCAAGTTGCAAAGATACTGCAAAAGAATGTTAATTATGACTGGAGGGATAACAGGTATAAAAAGCTCAATGATTTTCAGAAAGGAATTTATTAAATGATATGTTCATATTTTAGCCATTAAAATGTTGGTATTGTCTTACAATTATTGACATGGTAAGGAGGGGGAAAGTGGCGGAAGTTTTGGCCCATTTTTATTTTTTAAGTGAAAGAGATTTTTTACATACAGAGTGAAGTCCTGCATAGAACAGTGATTATATTTGCATGATGTGCTTATGTGGGAACTGTGTTTTTCTTTTTATAGTATACTAGTTATTTTTCCTGTTGCATGACAAAATACCCCTTACCCACATCTGAGAGAGGAGAGTTTCACTGTAGCTCATGGTCCGGTCTGTGCTGGCTAGGAAGCTGGGCCTCAGGATACATTGCCAGAGAGGACGGGAGCAGGGATCAGACGCAGTGCCCAGGATCACACCTTCATGACCCACTCAGATGCACCTGGAAGTACTCTTTACTAATCTCAACCCAATCAAGGTGATGGTCCAGCTTAACTGTCACCTGGAATTTTCTGGGTTAATTTTTTAAAAATGCTTATATATTTCTTTTTTAGTCAAGAAAGTGTCTTTAATAAAATATTTTTTTAAAATCAATGATACCATTTCTTGTGGTCTAACCAACATAATCAAAAAGGTAGGCAGAAAATTATTTTCAAGCATGTATTCTTTAGTGTTTCTAGTGTCTAAATCTCCATTAACCTACCCGAGCCGTAAGCCAAGGCTTTCCCTGGAGTCATGTGATCCGTTTACTCTGTATAGTCTCTTCACAGGGAAGGAATCTGCCAGCTCATTGATGTTAAAGTCTTCCTTTCAGAAATTTCAGTTTTGAGTTTTGCTCTTATTTTTAAAATTATTGAGATACCTATGGGAATACAGAGGTATAATATCAAGAGTAAAAAGTCTAGGGCTGGGGATTTAGCTCAGTGGTGCTGCTACCTGCCTTGCAAGTGCAAGGACCCGAGTTTGATCCCTGGTACCAAAAAAAAAAAAAAAAGAAAAAAAACAAACCCAACAAACAAAAAAAGGGCCA